ACCACTAGAAGCTGATAGGGTTTGGCTTGAAGACTTCGGTAGTACATTGCCGCCATGCATGATGGGACTGGTGCCGTAAGTGTGTAGGGTTGGAAGATAAAATGCGAGGGCAGGAAGGAGATAGGAAATACCGAAGTGTGTTCGTGGCTTGGTTTATGGGGTGTGCAGAACAAGACACGATGCTTACGCCATAAAGAAATTGTATGTGTGGCCACCCGTGAGCCAAATGAAGCAGAAATGTTACATAAACAAACGAAAAGGCTTCCATTCGAATCGTGCGTCAAAATTCTGACGAAATCCTGAAACTGCCCTCATTACAAAACTGCATCATCATCAAGAAGCTGAACGGCGCCCTGTTCAGCTGCCACGCGGATGACGTCAGCACAGCACCTAAAGGCGATAACCGTATCTCGCATCCCGACTAATGGACCTTAGCTTCGTCTGATATTGTAATGTCCGACTGCTCCATCTTGTTCACATTTCGTCTCCTGATCTCGGTCTACTGAATACATGACGTCAATTTATAGTGGGCGGAATTTTTCTATCTTTGTACCTTTTGTTTCCACGTTAATCTCAGTGAGGTTTAGTGCTGAGGGTCTGCGTGTACATTGATCATACTTTGTGGCTATTCATTTTCTTCTGTACAGGTAGAATTCGACTAATGCTTGCTACCATTCAGTCCAGAAGCTTATGTCTTCTCGTCTGCTGTCTAATAAGGTAAAAATTAGAATATACTAAACTATAATTTTGCCTGTGGCTCTGTATGGGCCTGAAACTTGGTCTCTAACATTAAAGGAGGAACATAGACTGAGGGTGTTTGAAAACAGGGTGTTGAGGAGAATACGAGAATACGTGTTTGGACCGAAGAGCGATGAAGTGACAGGAGATTGGAGAAAACTGCACAGTGAGGAACTTCATAACTTGTACTCTTCACCAAGTATAATTAGAATGATCAAGACAAGGAGGATAAGATGGGCAGGACATGTAGCACGAATGGAGGAGAAGGGGAATGCATGTAGGATATTAGTGGGAAAGCCAGAAGGAAAGAGACCACTAGGAAGGCCAAGCCGTAGGTGGGCGGAAAATATTAAAATGGATCTTACAGAGATAGAATTGGACGGTATGGATTGGATTGATCTGGCTTAGGATGGGACCATTGGAGGGTTCTCGTGAACGCGGTAATGAGCCTTCGGGCTGCATAAAATTCTGGGAACTTTTTGAGTAGCGGCACAACTGACGGCTTCTCAAGAAGGACTCAGTTCCATGAGTGAGATAGGTGCAATAGGCCGATCACAGTGGGCTCACGGTCTAAGGCATGAACTGTCTTCGCCCGCTTAAACACTGGGGTCGTGTGTTGGAATCTCACTCGAGGCGTGGATGTCTGTGTGCATTTATTCTGTGTCTGTGTTGTAGAGGTCNGGACATGTAGCACGAATGGAGGAGAAGAGGAATGCATGTAGGATATTAGTGGGAAAGCCAGAAGGAAAGAGACCACTAGGAAGGCCAAGCCGTAGGTGGGTTGAAAATATTAAAATGGATCTTACAGAGATAGAATTGGACTGTAGGGATGGGATTGATCTGGCTTAGGATGGGACCAGTGGAGGGCTCTCGTGAACGCGGTCATGAGCCTTCGGGCTGCATAAAATTCTGGGAACTTTTTGAGTAGCGGCACAACTGACGGCTTCTCAAGAAGGGCTCAGTTCCATGAGTGAGACAGGTGCAATATGCCGATCACAGTGGGCGCACGGTCTAAGGAATGAACTGTCTTCGCCCGCTGGAACACTGGGGTCGTGTGTTGGAATCTCACTCGAGGCGTGGATGTCTGTGTGCATTTATTCTGTGTTTGTGTTGTAGAGGTCTTGCGACGGGCTGATCCCCCATCCAAGAAGTCCTACCGACTGAGTATAGATTGAGAAACTGAAAAAGCGGCCTCTGATTTCCACTTGGTTCGAAATTAACTACGTTGTCTGTCAGCCATCATTTGCATCCATACTATCGTTCTGTCTTATCTGCATTTGTGAATATAGTCCGGAGGATAATGTTCACACTTAATAGGGACTAAACAGGAAATTGAGGATGTTACATAATTCAAGGGAATTAACATGAGAAAGGAGATCTTTCAGACTTTGTGGAAGGATATCAAGTCGAAGACAGATTTAGATGGAATCTGGAAGAAGTGGTTTGGCGGATGTGTGTTTCATTACAGTGGACTGAACAAATGTAGTAAATGAAGTAAGAAAGTTTTCGCAATATTTTATAAAATCGAGATTAACGGCCTTGGGGCTCCGTTGCGCTGACCATGTGACACCTACTATCCGCTAATATTGGCACTAACTTTGCCGACAAGCGGCGGTCGCTCGGGCACTTTCAAACTGCAGATCACGGAGTCTTCTATCTATAATGGTTTTAGAAAGTTGCAGTTCTTAATTTTGATATATACATAACTTCAATATTGTGTAAGTCCCGCAGAATTTTTCACCAGATCATCTCTGGTTTAATGGATTTCTTCGGAAGACGAAGAACAAGATAACGCTGTACAATGAAAGTAACCACCGCACTGAAGATACTGACAAGTACTTGATAACATTTCAATTTCCATAAAATTCTTCTAAATTTCTCATCCGAATAAATTATTTTTGTGTGTATTATATGAAGTTCAACCGACTCATTCTGAACTTATGCACTGAAATCAATAAAATATTTACTGGAGATTTTGCTGCTCTATCAAATTAATTAATTTTTGTGCCAGAACATTGAAATGAAATACATTATCATTACTAGCCTCAGGCCAGTGAAATGTCACTTGTCTGAAGTCGGATTTCTCTACCGTTACCCCGCATGATGCTGCTCTGAGCCCAAACAGAGTATAACCCCTTCATATTCAGATAATTTCAATGTTGAAGCTTTCAAATTTGCAGTTAGTTAAAAGAGAATTGCTACAGACTCTGTTCATATTGATGTTATAACCGGCGGCGTTTCGAGGACTTCACTTCAGGGTAAAGCGTAAAAATATCATGTGAATATTGCATTGCCTAGAATCACAAACAAATTGTAGGTCTTTTGGTGGTACAAAGATTGCACCGGACGTTACAGAATGTTATTTGACGAAATGAAACATTTTCACCGGTTGCTTTGCCCTAAATATTTCAGGAATGACAAGGGAGCCTAAACACACACACACACGACACCTCTCAGTAAGCCAGCAGCTTCGATCTCATGTCACTCGTCCTGATAAACAAGTTGTATGGGTCGTAATGACACTCGAGAGGGTTTTTCTCAAATATTTTTGGCTTTCTCTTACAATAACAGAGCACAGCAAAGTTTCGCTGATCACAAAAATGGCAGTGAAGAAGTTTGTAACACGAACAGTATTTTTGTTATGTGCAAGACATATGTACGCATACGTACACTTATTACAGGGATTAAAAATTACGTCATATATATGAGAAGGAACTTTTCTTTAACATATTCTTATATTATGGTTGACAAAAACCACAAGAACACTAAAAAGATATAATAATAAAGAAAATTACTTTTAAAAAAGGAAAATTTTTCCCAGTGCTTAAACACTCGAGCACTACGCCATGAACATATGTGGAGGGAATGGAGGTGTATGTCCACCATTCCTGTCCTCGTCGCTAGATGGAGGTGCGTTGTCAGCTTTATCCCCCCCCGGTCGATTTTATTCCCAACGAAAGAGCCCCCGGTACTCATTGTTTAGGAGGTTAGGTGGGCCCCGGGACCAGTGCATATGTCACGGAGAAGAGAATAACAAAGTCTAGCCCGCCTTTGGGCCCCACCCAACACCCTCTTCAGTGAGTACCGCGGGCTGTTTCCTTGAGAGTACGGTAAGAGAAGCCTGAAGTTGATGTCACCTCTATCTAGCGTCGAAGTTAAGAATCTATGGCTCTGCAACCCGTGTGGACCTTGACCGCTTTTTCAGTTTCTTATTCCTATACACAGTCCGTGCGACTTCTTGGACGGGGGATCAGCCCGTCGGAAGGCCGCTACCTGCACACAGGACAACGGAAACAGAATAAACGCACAGAGACATCTATGCCTCGAGCGGGATTCGAACCCAAGATTCCAGTGCTAGAGCTGGCGAAGACGGTTCATGAGTTAGACCGCGGGGCCACTGTGATCGGCCCAAAGTTCAGAATAGCTGAGCCGTATTTCCATTCCCCCATTCGTTTTCATGGGGCGGTTCCTTAATTCATTTCGATTCAGTGTTCTGTTCCTCACCCAACAGCTCGCAGAACAGTTACAGAGTGAGCATACGCAGAGAGATAAACTAAACAAAGACAAAACAAGGAAACATGTATAAATAATTCAATTTTTATTTATTTACATCCTAATTTAACAGCACAAGGCCAATTACAAAGTTGCATATAATAATAATAATAATAATAATAATAATAATAATAATAATAAGTACAGTCACGAGAGGGTTGAGAAAATATTTGGAACTAATTCCTGGTAAGCACTCCATAGATTCACCGCAAAAAACAGCTATCCTGGGAACATCACACATACTACGGAAAGTACAGTGCGAAGCTTGAAGCCTGAGTGGTGAGGTGCATCACTGGTCCAAGAAAAGGAATACCAGGAAATAAACCTGTGACAAGAGATGATGATGATGATGATGATGATGATGATGATGATGATGATGATGATATATATTGACCAAACTAGCTGAGGTCCTACGAGTAGCCTGTGAACCCTATATTCAGTGAACCCGCTCGTACTGAAGCAGACGCCCTGAAGATTCAGTGACATGTACATCGTAAACAGTTCCTTTGTGACTTGTGGCTGGGTGTAAAGATGCGTGTTGTTGTTTAGCTTATGCGACTGGCTTATCGTCTTTGTTTGTCAAGGTACTTGCATTAAACAGATCCATTTCTTATCCAAATGATCCGAAATGCCATTCCCTCTCTCAAGCAACGAACTGTTTAGAAAAGCAGCGAGGTTCAGTATCAAGTGTTATTCTTTTCTCTACACAGGGGGCGCAACTTGAGCTGACGGACATCTGCCTTTGTTCCCCATGCAGCACCGAAATCTCACGCCCTGGGTCAACACAGGTGCACTACGTTGCGGAGGTATGTCTTTCATTACCTGATTCCACAGTGGCTTACCAATTTTTGGAAACCGAGTACTTGATTGTCTCTGCTGAAAGAGTTCAGTGAGGATACAAAATAGGGCCCCTGCCTCATTCTCTCTAGTAAAGCCGGAAATTGACCAGAAGGCGCAGTGTTTCTGAACCATTAACGAGCCCAAATGGGAAGAATTTAGACTAGTAAGATCTTATGTCGTAGATTTTGAAAAATGTGAAGTATAGCGTCAGATCTGCCCATATGAGTTTGTCCCGTGGAAAAACTGGCACTGGGGTAGGTTCTTCTCCCCCCCCCTTCTCAATCATTAAACACACAGCTCATATCATCACTGCTGAGGTGCTCGCCGGGTGAAACCAACCAAAGCGTATTCAGCATCAGTCGTTGGTCCATGGTCTAAGAACCCATTTATAAAGATCTGAAATTTCCGTTACAGTGAAGATTGACGTTGTGACCTTCTGGGTGTAATTTCATTGGTGGGAACCAACGTTGCAGAGGGATATACTGCCTCCATCTACAGGATAACCTAGCCCTATCAGCCACAGCGGACAACACGGTAGAGTTTTGACTCCTGTAGCGCAGTGCAGATCGTCATCTGTTCGTTTGTATATCTTAAGTAGAGATACATACACTTCGTGCCTGTCACAGGACTTCAGTTAGCTTCGAGTTTTGTCCTCAACGTCTCCTACCGGGCCACTTTCCACTGCCCGTCTGTTCGTACGGAAGCGCTTCCTTTTCATAAAATTCATATATATATAATCATCTTCATTCTTGAGTTCTGAAGAGGTGAATTTCAGTTCTTAATTGCCCAATGATTTCAGAAGACAGAATATGCGCTCGGTTTACACGAGCATCCCATCACTATCCTTCGGGATCCTGGAAGGTATATATATACAAGTATAATATAATAATACACGTATATAATGAGTATATGCAAGTTTGTCTGAAGGCGATTCCTGGTAGGAGAATGTAATTATTTTTCTACTCCACATCATCCCGACCGGGTTTAGGGCCCACCAGCCTCCTCGGCACTGAGTATCGGGAGCTCTTTCACCTGGGGTAAAGCGGCCGAGGAGTGAAGCTGACCACTCACTTCTATCTAGTGCCGAGTTCAAGAATGTTGGAGCTATGCATCCACTCCCCCATACGTTTTCATTGCATAGTGTTTAATTAGTTAAGCACAGGGACATCACTACCTTACCTAGTAGGTACCTACCAGGTTACACGGCGTCATAACCCAGAAGACCACAACATAAACTAGTGCCGTCCTATATCTGCCGTTTCGCCATAATCGCAATTAGAGTGATTGGAACTGCCTACGACAATCTCCGCGCGGTGTAAGACATGAAATGTCTTCGCTCGCTCAAACACTGAGATCGTGGGTTTGAATCCCACTTAAGGCATGGATGTATGTGTTTTCGTTTATTTTGTCTTTGTGTTGTCCTGTGTGTAGGTACCGGCCTCTTTTTATATAAAAAATATTACCTGGACGAGGTCTCACAAAGTTTGAAAATCACTGGTAAAAATTCTTACTCCATTGACTTTTATGAAACTTCATTGCAGAACTTGAGCTTCAGCAACTTTTGTATTCAGATTAGAAGAAAATCGATATAACTTGAACAATAAATTTCAGCGTTGTTCCAGTGCTTTACATAGGATTAACGCCGTCCTAATACGTGAGAGCCTTGTCTACCGACTCGAACGGACCCGAAGACAGGGCAATCACGTGCGGAGTGGAGGCTTATGAGTTAGTTGGCAAACAAGTTAGGAGGCCGTGACAAGCCTGACAAGAGGCCCCGTGTGTGACACGAATGTGAAGTGTGACAGTAAATGTAGGAGTTCGATGTGGCCGTCGCATAAAGCGAGCACGTCAGGACGCTGCTACACAGTATTTGTACATAATGAAAAGTCCGTCCCATCGCATTTTCCATCCAAGTAACTGGTGAATATATTTGTATTCAAGTTGCATTTTCTGGTCTACGCTAGAACTTGTGAGGGGAATTTGATTTTAGTCTTTACTTGCATAGCAGAAACATACTTTGTATGATATTCAAATATAAATTTGTCATTTTCCTTAAAAACGGGTTATCGTACCAATAATTGGTAAATTACTTAATAATCTATCTATCTATCTACTACCTTCCTACCTACCTACCTATTACCTACCTGCCTATTTCCTACCTACCTACCCACCTACCTATCTACCTACATGACTACCTACCTATTACCTACCTCCCTACCTACACAACCACCTACCTACATATCTACATGCATTATATACCTACCTACCTACCTACCTACCCACCCACTCACCTGCCTACCTACCCACCTACCTACATTATCTACCTACCTGTTACCTACCTACCTATCTATCTGTTTGTCTGTCTGTCTTTCTGTCTGCCTGTCTATCTATTTCCTGTTGCTCCCGCTTGGAGCCCAAAGCATCCGTGAAACGCTTCGTTTCACTTCAGTTTCTTAATTCTAGGACATTCGGTAGGACTCCTTGGACGGGGGATCAGCCCGACACAACACCGCTACCTACACAGAACAACACAAAAACAGAATAAACGCAGACAGACATATATGCCTTGAGCGGGATTCGAATCCACGAACACAATGTTTGAGCGGGTGAAGACAGTTTTGCCTTAGACCGCGCGGCCACTGTGACCTGTTGACTTAATAATATCAGTTACTAATTTGTATTAGATACTACTAATTAGCGTTCATAATTAAGTAAACCTACCTGTACACGTACGATAGGTATAATGATAGGTATAATGATCATAATGATAGGTCCCTAACACGATATACGTACCTTCTTCCAGGGAAGAAACAGGGTTAAGAAGGCCTTGGCAGCATCATCACCATCATTAGTCCTAATTGCTGCTTGTAGTTCGTTCGAGAGATCGATGTAAGAACGTTACTGTATATTGTAAGGAAAAGTTTCAGAGCAGGACTCATAGAGTTTGCTTCTAGACGTACAGACCCATTGGTTATCACTCCTGTTGTTCTGCTATTTTATTTTTATTCGTGTGAAAAAATTATTAGTTAGGGCTTAATTACAGATTTTGTCGGTTTTAAATTTGTAGGATATAATCTCATAGCTTCATAACTTGTACGCTTCTCCAAGTATAATTAGAATGATCAAGTCAAGGATGATGAGTTGGGCAGGGCATGTAGCACAAATGGGTGAGAAAAGGAATGCATATAGGATATTGGTGGGAGACCCTGAAGGAAGGAGACCACTGGGAAGACCAAGGCGTAGGTGGGTGAACAATATTAAAATGGATCTTAGAGAGATAGGATGGGATGTATTGGATTGGATTGATCTGGCTCAGGATATTGACCAGTGGAGGGCTCTTGTGAACACGGTAATGAACCTTCGGGTTCCATAAAATGGTGGGAAGTTTTTGAATGGCTGCACAATTGGCAGGTTCTCAAGAAGGGCTCAGCTCCGTGAGTGAGTGGGTGAGAGAATATAAACTCAGTTTTTTTACCATCGCATATTTGTAATTGTTGACAAACAAACAACGTTTTAAATATAACTTTTAAAATTGGTTATAGTTTTATAGTTTATCTTCATATGGGCCTATAATTTCATAATTTCCTCTTCAGTGATCCATTAGCTATTTTCGTCAAATTTGAAGTTACATTTACATATTGAAAGTTATATCTTCTGCGATATAGCTCCGTGTGTACTGTCGGAAATCAACCAACATTTCAGAGGAACATGTAGCCTCAATTTTAGAGTCGAATCATAAGTCAAGCAAGAAACCAGTGTGAAGGTAGAGCTCTGCTTGTCATTCGCTTTACGCTGGCTTTTTGAATGGCTTATTCTTCAATCCTGAAAACAGAGACATGTTCCTCCGAAACATTCGTTGACTTTCAACGGACTACACGGCGTTATATCGCAGGAGGTATAACTCCTTGTAACCACCCCTGTGAGGTCTCAAACCCTACATACATGAAGATTTGTGCACGATTGCCACAGTGCTGTTTCACGCTCTGTAAGAGTAACTTAAGACTACTTGCATAGTTTTCGGAAGATCTGTTGCCAAATCAGGACACCGTGTTAAATGGCGCTGCTTGTTGTTATTGTTTGCTGTTCGACATTCACAAAATATAGCGTTGAGATAACCTCTAAAATCAAAATGTTGACACCAAGTTCTTTGAAGATGACTCACTTGGTTTAGAAACTGAAAAGAGAGACACATTGACAAGTACATGCAGTCACACGGACAAAATGGTGATCTCATAAGCCTTCCTTTCCTTAAGAAGGAAAGCCGGCTGAAGTGATGCGTCGAATTGTAATATACAACGGTAAGGACAGAAATTTGAGCTGAAATTAGTTAGAATTCACTCAAATCATACCCCGTAATCCTTTAAGGATGAAAGTGACACTTAAGCCACTTATTCAGTAGTATAGTTTCAACGTCAGCTTTTGGCCTCTAAAATTAATAGAATTTCATTGCATTGTTTTCGTTTGCGCTAGTCACTGTCGCTTCGTGGAGTGTTGTGATTGCAACTCCCCCACACACACCGCCCTCTATTTCCGGCACTCGATTTGAATCCATGGGGATCATCTCGGATCAGCGGAATTGCAGGAAGCGAGCTAAGAGCTTTGTCAACTTTTCAATGTTTGTCAAAATACAGTCCCCACTATCATCCATAATAGAGCATTAGCAGAACCTCCGCCTCAGTATGGCAACTGAGAAAACTCGACTTGTCATGGAATTCTATTAATTCTAAAGCAGGGGTATACAAATGTGATCTGAACGTTTGTGGCGATGGTACATCAGTAGAAATATTATGTTTTTGGACATTATCCATCGTCCTGTCTTTATCTAAAAACACCATCTTGTTTATTTTTCAAAACACAACGTTCCCGAGACTGGATTCTGTCTCCGTCTTTAGATAAAACCTACTCATTTGGGCCCAGTCGCTAGAGATATGTAGTCTGCAGTATTTCAGTGTGTGTACAAAGATAA